TTAATTTTACTATTTTAACCTGCCTAGTGGAGGAGTTTATATATATATATATATATATACATATATATAGATACACGGTAAAGTGGCCATCAGTCCTGACTCCCAAAAAAAATTTGAAGTCCTAACTCAAAATGACGACGTTTTATTAATCTCAGCCCCTCCCCTTTGCCCCTGCCCCGTTTTGCCTTTGCCTCTTCTTCAATTCTTTCTCCATCGCCTCTCAACCCCTCCCCTTTGCCGCCCCTCCCCTTTGCCTTTGCTCCTGCCCCTTTTGCCTTTGCCTCCTCTCCGATTCTTTCTCCATCGCCTCTCAACCCCTCCCCTTTGCCTTTGCCTTTGCCTCTACCTCTTTTGCCTTTGCCTCTTCTCCGATTCCTTCTTCATCACCTCTCAGCCCCTCCCCTCTGCCTTTGCCTTTGCCTCTGCCTCTTTTGCCTTTGCCTCTTCTCCGATTCCTTCTCCATCGCCTCTCATCTCCATCCACTCCTCCGAATCCTCCGATTCCACTGCAATTCATCATCTCCGTCGAAGAAAAGGGACCAAGTGACGGTAAGCTCTATCTACCCAAACAAATCGAAAAAATCTATCTCTTTTTTGTTGGGTCTCTTTTTAATCATTGGTTCCTTGAATTTTTCAGATGCAATCGCGCCATCGATAGTAGCAAAAAAGGAATTGAAGGCAAACAACCTTCTGAAAGTATTTTTGTTCTCCGGCAGCAACAGGGGTAGAAAGTATTTTTGTTTTCTTACTCCAATTTCTTGTTGAATCTGGAAAAGAGAAGGTTGATTTTAGGAATTGTTTGTTTATTCAATTAAATTTGGTAGCTAGAGTCATTTTTTCTTAACTATTTGATGATAAAATTTTTATACTGGTGCCTTGTAAATTATGTAAATTATTTATTCATGTTATAGAATACTAGTATTTTGAGGATTGGAGCATGCAGGTGACTGTAGTATTAATGGTGTTGTCACACTGCTTCCTTTAGAATTGCTTTATGCTATTAGAATTTAGTACTGTTTTCCTTGGTGCCCCTAAAGGCCTGGCTTTGGAGTTTTTCAGATTGGTAGCTTTTATCTGTTCCTTACATTAAGTTTGCACATTGGTACCTATGCTATTATAATTTATTTGTTCCAGAATTTAGGCCTGGCTTTATGGTTTTAATTTGAAGATTGTATTTTTGGTTGTTGTGTTGTTTGGACAAGGTTAATGCTTGGGAAAAATTCAAGTAGGTGAAAGAAAGTTCTTTTGTTATGACAAGTCAGATTAGATTTTAACAAATTGAATGGCATGGCAGCAGAGGGTAAATGAAGTTATATTTTGTCTTTACAGCTATTGGTTATCTTTTGTCTTTACAGCTATTGAGGAGCCAACTTAGCAAACGTGAGGTCTCAAGAGGTCTCTTTCAATGATGAGGTTGCTGTTGCTTTTGAGAAGAAGATAGTTTCCTTCATAGTGGAGAATGCTGTGAAGAATGAGTTGAACAAGGCATACAGCAAAAAGGCCAAAAAAACAAGACATTCTGTAGATTTAGCCTTAGCTTGTTTGTGGCTTTTTCTTTTTCATGTTTTTCGGGTTTATTATGACAAAATGTGACTTGTAAGCTCACATACAAAATTTTGTACTGTACAATGTAAATTGGTTATATGCAATAAAGTTGGCAATTGCCCTTTTATGTACAAAATAAATTTCCACTACAATAAACAAATTTTGCACAAATCTTTTTTTTTTTTTTTTGGTATAGCAAAAATAAACTAAATAATTAAAACAAGGAAAACTACTAACAGAGGAAGCATACCCCCATTTGATCCCCTTCAAGGATATTCCATAATTCACTTGGTGGAGAATCCCAAATATGTAATCCTGGTGCAGTTGAGTGTCCCAGGGAAGCTAAAAAGCCTGCTGCAGCATTACCTTCTCTTAAAGTATGCTGCAATATACACACATCAATTCCCTACATCAAGTTTTTAATTTCCAATAAAATAGCTGCAAACAAGTTATTTGGTTCCCGGTTCTCATTGACAAGGCAAACAGATATGAGAGAGTCCATTTCTGCAATAACACGAGAAAGTCCAAGGGATTGGCATAACCGAAGCCCTTCTCTAAGACCCCAAAGTTCTGCTATAAGAATAGAGGTATACCCCACATTAACCGTGAATCCTGAAACCCAACTACTAGAATTAACTCTAATCAAGCCCCCAGCACAAATCTTTGTAGAAAATCTAAAATGAAAAACTTCTATAAGGCATTACAAATAATTAAGAGAACTTATATAAGTACATTGCAAACTTTTATAAACTTCACAATGTACAGCTTCACAAAGTATAGCTTCACAAAGTAAGCTCATTGCAAATTTCTACAAGCTTCACAAAGTAAGCTATAACTATAAATTTCATAAAATAAGCTATAAACTTCACAAAATAAGCTCAATTCATATCCAAAACAAACCTAACACTAAACAAAATAAGCTCCAATTCTTTACAAAATAAGCTTAATGGTTACTCTATCATAACAATCCCTCCTTTGCATGGGGTAATTGACTTGCACTTCCATCTTCTATGACCTAAAAAACAAAGTACAAAACCAAGATATTGTTAAGTTACATGCAAATAGAATGCTAAAAAGTGAAAAAATAATGATCAACTTAATAATTTTACATTGTCTTTTGTCTTTCCACAAGTCCTAGAATCATGACCTTTAATACCACATGTGCTACAAGTTCGCCTTCTAATATGAGCTGTATTTTGTGACACTTGTTTTCCTGCAAGAATCCTAGAAAGTTCCTTTGGTCGACCCTTGGTTCTAACCCTTTCCGGATCATGAATATCTATGTTACTTGAAATTAAATCTTGAGATATTGCTTGAGCACCAAAATCTTGCTCACTTTGTTCAGTAACCAAGCCTTCAAACTCCTTTCTAATACTATATAATTGCCTTTTCAAATCTTCCACCACTGCTGCAGCAACATTGTAAAGTTTGCCATGACTTACTGCTTGGTCATGCACTTCATTAAGAGATTTTCGAAGATTCCAAGAAGCAAGTGCAGAAACCACTAATTCTTTTGATGTGCTTATCAATTGAGCTTGTTTACTACTATATCTATATGCC